ATCGTTTGCCAACACGACTTTTCAATCGTAGAAATGGGAATTTTCGCTGATCTTCTAGCATTGCTTGAATTGAGAATTAAGTAAAGTATGATGTTTCTTACGATTTACTTTCGGAATCAGCGCTGTTTTTGGTTGCTGGTAAGAGATTACTCTATATACAGACGGTGTAACGATTATTCGGCCGTCGTGTGACCAACGCAGGGTTACATTATTTTATCTAATGGTGTCTGAGTTTTAATATTCTCAGTGATTATGCCTGTGTCACTACAGAACGATGCGAAATTTCCTAGTTCGCGAAATGTACCCAATCTAAAATGGTTACCTCCAAGGAAATTCTCTTTTTTTTCTCGAATTTTCTTGATGTCAACCAGCTCTAACCATGGACGGCGATGTCACCTAACATCGACCTCGATCGCGGTCCTCAAGTTGGTTTTGTTTTGTTGAATAAAAGGCACATCTCTGAGCTTTTAGTGTCTACGCTTCCATTGGCCCGCGTCAATCCATTAACTGCTATTCGGAGAGACTTTGCAATGCAAACAGCAAGATTTCTATCTCAACAAAATGAGTCAACAATATATAGAATACACCTATTTTGACATGTTTTGACAGGCGTGCGTTTAATTCTTTTGACGCAATTATGATAACCACTGCCGTCTGGTTGGAATTTGAACCCACGACAGCGAGGCAGAGGCCTCACTATAGCCAACGCTCTTACCATCTGATCTACGAGACCAAACCGGGAGCTATGCTTTTTATTAGAGTTGGGTCAAGTTACCTGTCGAGATTAATGCAACGTTTGCAAGCCGCCCATTTTGATGCACTAAAGTGACTGACCAAGCGGGAGTTCCTAAGCAGTCAATCTAAAATTCACGACCCGACTATCAGGCGCACTTAATTAACTGGGTGTTTTGAACTATTTGAATAATTCATGTGATTTGTGAAAGCCTCAGTGGCTTCAGTTGAATTCGAACGCACCACAGATGGGTAGAGCATCGGCTGAACCAGAGCCTTCTCCTTACCATCTTGGGTCCGAGTCACATTGACGGCGTCAAGTTTGTTTACAATTGGTTCAAGTAGATTATTTAAGTCTGTTAACCCAGACCCTATTGTTTAATAGTTGGATGACAAATTACTAGACTGTGTGAAGACCTCCATAACGGCGTACCTGCGTGTGTTTGCGACTATTTCTGTGTATGCACTTGCCCTGTCCTTTTGCAGCTAGGTTGATGAATGGCTAAGCTGAATGTGGACGCCAACAGAAATGGGAGTGAATTCCACTTGTGTTTTTGACCCATAGCGCTGGCCCAGATATGTCTTAAAATAATTAGGCCAGTTTTACTTACAAAATCAAAATCCATAAGAAGCCGTGGACCCATTGATGCCGCCAATTTAGTGAGTAGGAAGCAGGTAACAAGTTTAATCTACAGGAAATTAGTGGAAGGTTTAAGTGAGCTGGAAAGAAAAAAAACTACTCTCGTCGCACATCAAAAGCAACTTTTACTAAATTGAACTTGGAGTTAGTCGGTTAAGTTAAAGTTTGGTCGGAAACTAGTAAGCACCATCCCGACAAAGCAAATGAAAATATCTGAAGGTCATTAGTCTATAAACGAGTGTATGAACGAAAATGAAAGAAGGTTGAAAAGGTATGTGAGGGCTTGACTGTAGCAATTACTAACAAAAGCTTAGCATTCAGTTGCATTTCGCTTTTAGAAAACAATTTCAGGCTATTCACCGTGTTTTATCTTTTACAACTAGTTGATGCCACAACCAACTAATACAAAAAGACAATTGTGTTACCTGATATTTTTTTCCGTATGCGTGATATTTTGCTTAATCGAAGAGCACGCTTTAATCACTTCTATTAATAATCGAACCCACACGTGCTCACAACCAGAAGATCGGACAGATTGCTTGGACGTAAATTAAACCTAAAAAATGAATATTATCGAAGTTAACTCAAATCAATAATGTCTCATGCCATTGAGGACGTCTACTTGTTTTGGCTAAGGAGAACTGCGCGCATAATATTCTACGATCTGCTAAACAAACCGATAATTCTTTCCCGAATTCCTTTCCTGTAAAGTAGGGTTGTTTAGCCTACCTATCGTCTTAAAACAATTTCCGTGACGAAATCGGGCGAGTTACATATTATTAGATAAAGCGGAAACCACTTGGAATGCATAGCAACGGGATGTGTTATATTTAAGAAATAATTTAGGCAAATGCTGCCTAATTTGGCATACCGGCAGCCCAGAAACAAGCATGAAACTCAGCAACGTATTTCGTTGATTTGTTGTTGCAACTTCGAGAGTTTCGGCCAATCAGTGTGTTTCCTGGTGTTTTAAGCTTTGAATTTTCTGTTATTTATAATCTTTGAAAATTGTTTTACCAATGTTAAGTAAGTCCTTCGGAATATAGCTTTATATGTTCAGCCCGGACGTCGATATGCGTATTTGCCGGTATTTCGTCTGAAGCTGAGAAATTCGACTCAGTAAGCGCATAAAGTTACTGCTTAGTGTCTATCTCTGACAAACAGGTAATTTTCATGACCGCGTCAAAACGGACTGAAATAAAACACATGAACAGATCGCCAGGGCAAAAAGACAAATCCTTCAAACATGCTAGGCCCAGAAAACTACGTAGGTTGGGTAAGTGGTACTGATAGGAAGGCCTACTGTTGTATTGGAGGTCTGCTTGGTGACGTTCTCAGTTGAAATTTTACGAACTAAACTGCTAACCAGAATAAAAAACATGGGAACATTGGGAGACTTACTGAGGGGCTGCAGTCGTATCATGCAACGGCAAAACACATGCCTGTGCTTTTTGTTACTACCAGTGCTGTTCGTGTAGTATGTCCTGCAAAATGTATGTAGTACTGGCTGAATATTTCCGGTTATGAATTTTAATCAGTTATTCTACTTAAGATAATAGATTTTGGCTCAAATATTCATATAAAAGTTTGGTCTGAGCTTATAAAGCTTCTTTTCGAACGATTAACTCTAACTCAGTCCATTAATTTCAGTTACAGCCCAAATCTGTAGCGAATTATCGAGCAACACTTTCTACCTAACGTTAGACCATTAATTCTGCAAGGTACGTTGGCAGGCCTACTGAAGACCAAGTCTTACACGATTAAGTTCTAAAGTCAGTGGGACGTGTTCCTTGCTTTTAATGAATGCTTACGTTCACGTGTTATGATACGATTTCCGAATTTTGATTTTAAACTTTATGACACATCCGGTAATACAGTCAAGTGTTGTCCATGCAGCATTTTACGGAGTTGCCGTCAGTGGAGGAGCCAATGGGCAACTCTGCAAGATAGCCACAGTAGCTGGCGTCAAGGAGAAGAGTATAAGCTAAGAAAAATGCAAGGTGACTAATAAACAGACGTTGACATAGATAACAAGCCAATACAGGGAGTTGGAAGTCGATATGTTTAGTCTGATCTGATGGTGATCTTGAAAACTACCAAAGTGAAAGTCTCCGCGTCACATTCGGAATACAATTCAGTCACACGTTTTAACCTCGTAAGATGTAGAAACAGAGTCACAACCATAAAATATTTGTAAGGATTTCAAGAAAACTATCGACAGATTGGAAGATAAAAATATACTCTTAAAGGTTCAAGGTTCAAGGATTCGAATGAAAATTGCTAAGGCCGTGGAGACAGCTAAATAAGCGCTAAGTTGTTTAAATACCGGTACCTCCAGATCTCCAGAAAACCCGTTTGTTATGAAAACGTGACTATATTTAATTATTATTGCTATAAGTAGTGAACTTTATCAAGTAGCACCGTCTTCGTGTTTCTTTTTCCGGTGGCCTTTATGTATCCCACGGCAGTAACTTACATAATTTAGTAGCCAACTCGTTCACACACACCTGTCAGAAAGGGTTTCCGTCCAAAATTGATGGTTGGTGAATAAATTTGATTCGTGTACTTTGCCCATGCGCCGTAAGACCTCCTTATAAACGTTGTCTTCTGTTTGACAGGCACTTCACCTACTTCCGGCGAAAATGAGGGAGAAGAGTATGAAATTTCTCCAACGGATGGTGAACTGCGTCGAAATAAACGGAAACAACAGGAAAATAAGCGACTCACAAAGATCCAGATTCTGGAGATTCAGCAGATGATCGAGGCTGACCGAAGGCAACTGGAAGAAAAGAAGGACATGGAGGTGGAAGAGAGAGACAAGATCAGAGTGAGTTAACAGATAAGTGGTAACATAGTGAAACCATACTTCTTCTACATTTTCAGTTTTATTCCACTTTAAGTTATTCTAAGACTGATACGAATTATACGGTATTGTTAGAGACAGATGGGTACAGACTCTTTCAGCTACAACATCTTCAATCTCACTTTTGCAAGTCATTGGTTTTAACCGTAATCACACAAAGTTATTTCGAGTAGTGCTGCTCTTATCGTTATCTTTTTAAAAAAGATGATTCTAAATGCCATTCCAAGTTGCCGACACAAGTAACATGTGTGTTTTAGGAAGTGGCTAAGAAGAAGTAGGTGTGCTCACTGAAACAAGGACTCTAGTTGCTTGACATTTCGGATTCATGCTCGAAACCATCATCAGACACAGTGCCAGATATGAATACTTCATACACAGGGAGTTACAGTATTTATGGGATATTGTGTTTAGACTACTGTATGTCTACTCTCAAAAACGAATCGCCCCGTATTGAAAATGGTTGCCTGCTGGTTCGCAAATTGCTTGATAGATAGCATGCAGGTCGCTCATTGCTGAGATTTCTTCACTTGTATCGAATGTTGGCATGATGATGCAGTAGCAAACATCCGCTATATCCTATAAATACTACAACGCCTTGTGCGTGTGTGCATTACCCGTATCTGTTACTGCACCTGATAATGGGTTCGACTATGAATTCGAAACGCAGGCGAATAAACTCCTTATTCCCGCGATCGCATCTATTTCATGGCAACTATCCTAAGTGTCAACCTGTGCTTGGGAGGGCTTCAAAAATTGTGCTTGCCGTACATGCTATAGGCAACGCAGGGCCAGATACGGACACTGCACCACGTATCCCCTATTTTTGCAACATGGATCTTCAATTGTTTGACTTATAGAGGTCCGTTCTACAGATATTAATGTTTGGTATCAGAAGCAGCTCTGTAAACTGAGGCAACTAGTTTGCTGGCGATCGTTGTAAAGTTATTTGTGTCGGAGAGGGCCTGCCCCCTTCTAGATGTCTATTAATAATTAACGTGCAATGGAGCATCCACCAATCCGATTACAGCATGGAGCGCGCTTTTTCTCCGGTGCCTTCGAGCCACCTCTAGAGTGTTCCCAGACTTTAATTTTGTAGACAGTAGAAATGCCGAATGAATTCAAGTATAGATGAGGCAGATTGAAGATAGCCAATTCGAG